TATGATTCATCTCTTTGTAAACTCGGTCCTCTATTTATCCATCTTATATATCCATCTTTCGCTTACATGAAAAATCCGGTTTCGGTTTGTCTAGCTTTGCTTCGTTAGTGATTCATTTTTGCACATGCTCATTTTAGCTCAACGCAGGATGCTTTTCTCTTCCTTGAATCCGAATGCTCGAATCCGCATTCAACAAAAATTTATTTTTCATTCTGAGAATCGAACGGCGCTCCGAATAACGCAAAGAGGACGAAGAGAGATTGGAAGAAATAGTTGCGTGGATATGCGATTTTTACATAACTTGGCGATACTCGTTCGTAATATATTTCGCAGATAATATTCCATTAATTATCTTATGTATTAGGAGTTTCCAAGACGATCCGGCGGACGAGCAATCGACAAGTATGTTCTCAATAAACCGCGCAGCACCGATCGAGGATCTTATCGTCGCGTGAAGAAGAAGAAGACAAACTAGTAGAAGAAGATTAGGAAAAGGAGGATTAAGAAGAAGTTTGATGAATCTTGTACGCGTTTCTTCTCGATCGATGGAATGTCAATGTCGATTCTCGGCGTCGGTTCTTTTTTTCATCTCGAGCGGTCTCTACCGAACGTCTTTTTTCCCCTTCCTTCATATCAGTTATATTCGTCCAGCGATGGTTTCTCTTTATTTTGTAATAATTAACGATTATTAATAGCGAGTAGCAACAATAACAGCAGCAGCAACAGCAGCAGCAGCAGCGATGGCGGCGCACTCCTCCTTATTTCGTCCTCCCTGCAACAATACTCGGCAGGATCTCGCGCCTTCGTTACGTATCTTCCGCTGTCGAATAACCTTTCATCATAATACTGAGTTACGCAGCTCACAATCGGTAAGATTGATCTGCGTGCAAACGCGGACGTCGAGCGCGAGAAGAACGAAACGGAAACGATCGCAACAACGCGTCGTCGTTATCATCGTTATCGTCATCACCGTCACGTCGTCAGCGATCGCTCCTCCTCACTTGCCCAATCCGAACTTCATGAAGATCAGCTCCTTCCCTTTAGAAAGTATATCGCCACCCGCGCTCGCGCCCGCCATCTCGGTGAACTTCTGCATCAGGTTCGGCCCGGTGCTTTGTTGCTGTGGTTGCTGCTGCTGCTGTTGACCCTGCGTCGTGTTGGGTTGCGTCTTGGATTGCGCCGTCGGCAGCACCGCCGGGATTCCTCTCATAGGCTTGCTGGCGCTCTGAGGACCGCCCATCCCGCCCTGTTGATTTTGTTGCCCGAACGATTGGCCCAGTTGCTGCTGTTGCTGCGGCTGTTGAAACTGTTGCGTCGATTGCTGCGGATATCCTTGATTAGGTTGCTGCTGCTGCTGGTATGGTTGATTCGGCTGCTGCTGATACGGCTGCTGCTGGCCCTGATAATCCTGCTGCTGCTGGAATTGCTGGCCCGAGCCCTGCATACCTGGCATGTTACTACCAGCGATCCGATTGACCACGCCGCCCCTCCCCTTCCCCTAAAAATAAAGAGACGTGGTTAACTCGGTGGTTCTTTTTCTCTCTCCCGACAATAATCGTTTTGTTTTACTGATGTTCAATCGCTAACAAACGAATAAATCGAATAATCTATATTTTCGCCTAGCTCTATCGCGCTCTATCGTTACTTTCGCTAGTGTCATTTCTGCAATAAACGATGCCATTCTTTTATCACTCTGAAGAATCTACGCTCGCTAACGTAAATAAATTGTCGGCGATTCGGAAGATATATGCGATGATCCCTCTTTTATGTAACAGTAATTGGCGAGAGAAAAAAATACTTTGAATGTATGTCGAGATAAAAGAAAGAAGAACATATGATTGAACTTATAGATCTTCGTGTTGTATTTCCGATTCATCATTCTGTTGAATTGTATCAGTGTATTCACATCACGATGGTTTCACGAAGTATGTATCATCTTCTTTTTTTCTGTTTTTAATTGCAATGATTTTTATTAAAATGATGGAAGATCAAATAAGACAACGCTATAGCATGCTGCACGATTTAAAGCGTTTATACAATATGATGAAAATACATCGACACGAACTACACATAATTCATGTGCCACGTTCGGCACGCGTGTTTCGCAATAAAGCGTGACTCATACTTACAAAAAGAAGGATGCATACAACTAAGTGAAATGCAAAAATACTGACTCAGCCATCGGGCGTTTCTAGTAAAAAATTATTGGAATTTTTCTCAGTTCATATTGCAATTGAAAACTTGGTATTTCAAAAAATTCATCTTACGTATAAAATAATTAAAATATCTCTTTTTATATCGTGTACATATTTATACTTTGCATTCATGCAAAAAAATAAGAGTTTATTCAGTATTTGTAGCATAAGTAATCAGAATTGCCAGTTAAAGCACATAGACAGCAACATGTAATGAAAAATGCATAGAAATGCGAGATCATGTAATCTTTTATAAACGTTTCTATAATTCAATTGATATCCAAATTCTATTCAATTAAAGGTAATGACGTAAATCAAATGAAGAATGTTAAAAAATTTTCGATCAATCATGTTTTATAAGCAGACAATTTAATTTGCTCTAGAATTTCATAATTTCATTAACAAAAGATTCAAGTTCTCCCTCTCTCCATTTTTCCTCGAAAGGTAATTGACAACTTATGGCAAACGACGGACAATCGTCGATTGTGGAAGCTTCGATGTACCTGAAGAACAAGCGCACAGAAAAATCTGGACAAAAGCACACATATTCGACAAAAAGCATAGACGAGATAGAAAGATAGAGAGAGAGAGAAAGAGAAAGCGTAGAAGAAATTCTCGGAAGAGGAGCGGGCTCACCTGTTGCTGAAGGTGGGGCGGTACGGGACCTTGCTGATGGGCACCCATAACACCGCCGCCGGGTGGCAAGTGACTGGGCCCATGCTGATTGGACGTGGTTACGGTCGTGTAGCTGTGGTGATTCGCTTGTTGGTAGGCTAGATGCGGTGGATTGTTTTGATGTTGTAGTTGATGTTGTTGGTTGTTCATTAGTGATGGTGATGGTTGTTGTTGTAGTTGTCTAGAGTCTAAGTGACAGACAGGGACAGACACAGGCACAATGCAGGCATCTAGCAACAGAGAAGAGAACAGAACCGTGTTGTCATTCATGGCGCATTTATCTTTTACTTTTCATTGTCTTTTCTTTTTTTTCTCTTTATTCTTTTAATTTAATTTATGTTCTTTTTCTCTTTTCCTTCGAGTCGATCGAGCATGCCGGGGTATATACACTCGAGCCGAGTTTTCAAAGAGTCGCAATGTACTTTCGACGAAACGGATCGCCCCGACGGGATCATCCAAATCGCGCAGAGAGTCTCAGAATCATTGGCAAGTCACGTATGTTTTATCAGACACGACATCATATGTTCCCCGGTACATATTTTCGGACGAAAGTTGCGATCGTCGCCGTCTATTATTGGATCGATCGTGAATAAACGGGAAATCAACGTAATCGTAAATGGCCAGCATGACAACACGACACGAACGACAATCATGTGACACGACGACCATCGATCAGTTCAGGCACACAGAAACAAATGTCGGTATAAAGTAAAACTGTTATATATCA